GCAAGTGGAGAGAGATGGAAGCTGATACCCGAAACCCAGAGGGCACATTCCTTCAGCCCAGTAAGAACCCAAGAGCCTCTTGACATTTGAACTGGCCAAGCCGACCAGCTTCCTCCTTCATTCCTTTCTTTCCTGGCCCCCCAAGCAACCCTTGCCCCCACCCCCCGCCTTGCGAACTGGTTAGTTCTCAAGGCTTTTGTCTCTTGTTTTCTCAGGGGTGTCCTTTCCTCTTCAGATTTACAGGTGTGTGTCCCATTTGTGTGTCCGTGGCCTTTCCAAGAAGTTTTAAAGACCTGATGTTTAAGCTGAAGTGTTTTCTTGAAGACCTACTGAGTCCTTTGTGCTTTTTCCAGGAAAGGCACTCAGGAAGAACCAAAACAAACAACTGAACCACTCAGAGGTGAGGGGAGCCAAGTGTCTTAGGAGAGGAAGGAGGAGAAATCAGCATTTGTTTCTGGGGTTTTCTTTCTCTTTCTCAAAGCAGTCCACGAAGCCAAGCCTCGGTTCAGCGGGGTGGGGGGAGGGGGCATGAGGGGAATGGGTGGGGGTTGGGGGGGTCATTATTGCTCTCGAGCTGTTTAAGGCAAAGACTGAAGCTTTGCCTTGGAGAAATCATGGCACCAGGATGTTTGTAGACACACTTCAGAATTGATTTGGAAACACTGGAAATTATGTTTGGGAAAACTGATGGCAGGGTATTTAGTATGTGTCTCTCACCATGATGGATGGAGGCTGTTGCTAGGCTAGCCAAAGGTCCCAGGTACCTGGCAGAATGGGCCTGAGATGCAGAAGGACTTGCCATAAGCCAGGGTGACGGCTGCCATTAGTGCTGAACTAAACTGACCAAGTGGGGTTCTGTGTAGGAGATTGTTCAGCCGTCTACTCTTCTTTCCAGAGAGGTTTTGTTCACGGAAAAAGTTGTCCCAGGGTCAGGCAAGCACTAGGTCTGAAAATTCTTTTTTTTTGGGGGGGGGGGGGTCGGGGCACACCCAGAAATGCTCAGGACCTATTCCTGGCTCTTTACCCAGGGATCACTCCTGGTGAGGCTTAAGGGACCATATGAGGTGCCAAGGATCGAACCTGGGTCGGCTGCATGCAAAATAAGTGCCCTACCCGCTATATTATCACCTGGGTCCCACGTGCTGAAGATTCTGAACTCCCTCCTCTCTGAACCCAACTTGTTCTCCTCCTACTAACCGTGAGCTTGGGTGACCAACTCACTCCTGGGGTGGGGGTGGGGTGAGTGGGAGGAACTGATCCGTGACGGTGATCACAGCTCTTCCCTCTCATAACGGGAGTGAGCAGGAAACTGCGCTAACACATAGACACAGGTACATGCCCCTGGGTGTCCCATGGGACAGACTGTACCGACACAAAGGCTCATCACTGCCCAAATCTCAGATCATGTTTTCGTCTGGTGCTGGCAGACAAAAAGTAGAACGCTGTTAACCAAGCTGCCAGATAGCGAGAAGTGCAAATCACAGCACCGCTCCGAGTTTAAGAAGGTCAAGACAGGCTCCTGATAGAGCTGATAATTTATATCCACCTCTCCCACAGCTCGGCTGCCCTCTCCCCGCCGCAGAACTCTCTGGATTCTTTATCTGCAGAGCATCAGCAAGAAACTCAGGCCGCTCAGCATCAGGCAGGGGACACCGACCTCCACGCAAAACGGAACTGAAGGGCTGACTGAGGCTGACTGAACCATTTTCTCCCATGGAAAGGGCTTGTCCCTAGGGTCTTACCACAGCAGAGGGAGCTCCCAGAGGGTGCTACTGTCTACACAGCAACCACGCATGGTTCTCACAGAACTAAGCTAAATGCAGACGTCCCAAGGTCAGGGAGATGTTAATCAATACAACCCCCCATTTTTTTTGGATTTTACAGAATGTGGTGTTCCACAGTCCCTGTCAGGTGGGCTGACTCTCCACCTCTACCTTCTCTAGGCCCCTTTGTGATTCCCAAGGACTTCAGAGTCTCAATGCTTTGGTTTTGGGGTCACACCAGTGGTGTTCAAGGATAACTCCTGGCTTTGTGTTCAGGAATCACTCCTGATGGTACTCAGAGGAGCATTTGCAGAGCCAGGGACCAAACCTGGGTTGGCCACATGCAAGGCAAGTGCTCTACACACTTCGTGTTTTCTCTCTCTCTCTCTCTCTCTCTTTCTCTCTCTCTCTCTCTCTCTCTCTCTCTCTCTCTCTCTCTCTCCCCCTCCCCCCATCTCCTTCTCTCCCTCCCTCCCCAACCCAATTCCTCTGTAGGAATTTATTTTTTATTTTTTGGGGGACTGCACTTGGAAGTGCTCAAAGCTTATGTCTGGTTTTGTGCTCAGGGATCATAGATCATGAAAGGCAAGATTTGCTGCATTATTTCTATGGCTCCTGTTGGATTTTTTTTTTCATTTTTTTAAATGAATTACCATGCACAGTGGTAGGGCGTTCGCCTTACAAGTGGCCAACATGGCCGACCCCAGTTCGATTCCTCTGCCCCTCTCGGAGAGCCCAGCAAGCTACTGAGAGTATCTCGCCCGCACGGCAGAGCCTGGCAAGCTCCCCATGACGTATTCGATATGCCAAACACAGTAACAACAGAGTCTCCAATGGAGACGTTACTGGGCCCGCTCGAGCAAATCGATGATCAACGGGAGGGTCTTTTTTAACTTTAACCATGAGATACAGTTACAGACTTACAAACTTTCGTGATTACATTTCAATCACACAATGATCGAGTACCCATCCCTCCACCAGTGCTCATTCTGTACCACCAATGTTCCCAGTATCCCTCATGCCACCCCATCGCTTTGCACCCCTGGCCTCTGTGATAGGCAAATTCCCTCTTACTCTCTTCTTTTGGGTGTTACGGTTAGCAATTCATGTTGGACTTTTTAAAGATAGAAAATCTCACTTAAGCAAATGATTTTGCTTGAGACAGAATATTTCATTTTTATTTGTTACTTTTTTAAATGGTGCAGGCACTGTTATTCTTATTTTTGGGGGACCACATTCAGCACCAGGCTCTTGGTTTACTACTGGCTCTATGCTCAGGGATCACTCCTGGCTCACGAGATTATCTGGGGGGCTGGAGATCAAATCCAGGTCAGTCTCAAGCAAGGCAAGTACCCAAGTCCCTTACCACTCCATATTATCACTCCAGCCCCGAGACAGAATATTTTTAGATGAACTTTTCACCCCTGAAACACACTAATAAATATGACTTTACAATAAACAATAGTTTAAGTCTCTTTAAATTAAAAAAAAATCTACGAACAAAGCAAAATCAAGTCAAAGAGGGCTTTGTCATGGTCCTCTGCTAACCAGGTAAAAGAATAAATGAGTCTGAGTATAAAGACAACTTTTCCGAAAATCACCTTCAAAGTGATTTTTCAGGACCTAATTTTTTTAGATAGGACTCCTCTTAGTAGGTTTAAAAGAAAAAGATGGCCACTTGCCCACAGAGAAGGCAAATATCTGTTGAACAACTCCATGAATGCTCCTCGTTGGAACAGAAAGCAAAAGCAGCCTTTTGATTGCAAGAGTCCTAAAGAAGTCCAGTGAATGCTCTCGCCCCAGAGGCCTGGGACTGCGGTGCTGAGTTGCAGAGAGAAAGGCCCTGTTGTCTTTGAGATCTAAGACGTGGTGTATGTGCTTCACGGAAGGGAAGGGCCAGCGACCCTGGGGTCTTTGCCAGGACCTTGAGCAAGCTGAATGTTGAAAGATGGGGAGGAAAAGCAAGAAGGAGGCGGCTTCTCTAGTGCAGAGGGAGAAGATCATAAAACAGCCTTCCAAAAGTGCAGGCTGGTGACGCTTCTTTGAAACAGGCCGTGACTACAGCATCTTGCTACTGCCTGCCAGATCCGCAAAATAGCCTCACAAAGCCAACGGGGGCCAGAGAGATAGTACAATGATTAGGGCAACTTGGTGGTTGTGCCCTAACCATTAAACTATCTCAGCCACTTGGTGGCTGACCTGGATTCGTTCCCTGACACCACATGGGGTCCTCGAGACACCACCAGGAGTGATCCCTGAGTACAGACTCAAGAGCAGGCTTTGAGTATAGTGAGGGATGGCTCCAAACACAGAAGTAAAATAAAGGCCATGAAATGTCTAAACAAACCCTTAGACAAGATTAGGCATAGAAGAAAAATTTAAATAGAGGAAGAAACTCCCATCATAAAAGTTGAAATGTGCATTACGGTAGTAATAAGTATATCCATAATGCCCGAAAAGGAGGTTTGGGGCAGTGAAGTTAGCGAACAACACTGAATTTCTTTGTCTGTCTCTCCATGTGTGCGTCTGTTCGTCTTGCAGAAAGAGGGGAGAAGAGTACAAAATGTCCTTCTTGGTTTTCAGTTTTGTTTTGGGGCTGCACCCAGCTGTGATCAGGGATGTTTCCTTACTCTGAACTCAGGGAACCATATGTGGAGCTGGGGATTAAACTGGGATCGGCTATATATGAGGTAACCACCTTAACCTTGTTCTCTGTGGCCCCCCAAATTTCCTTCTTTGAAATGGTGAAGCAGAACTCCCATTCTGGTCCTGAGGGTCTGGGGGAATTTTTTTTTTTTTTTTGCTTTTTGGGTCACACCGGCAATACACAGGGGTTACTCCTGGCTCTGCAATCAGGAATTGCTCCTGGAGGTGCTCAGGGGACCATATGGGATGCTGGGAATCGAACCCGGATTGGCTGTGTGCAAGGCAAACCCCCTACCCGCTGTGCTATCACTCCAGCCCATGGGGGAGATTCTTTTAGGCAGAGAATCCCAAAGTTATTCGGCCCATTTCTGGTCCCCAGCTTCCTCCCCCTACACACCCTGCTATTTATTCAACATCAACACAAATTCACATCACTCAGCATCCCCCAAAAACCTACCTTCTTGAGAAAACAGACAAACAGGAAGCACCCACTTGTACCTGAGGTTGCTACTACCCCCATCTCCCCCACCCCATGCTGTTGTAGCCCCCCAGATGAGGCCTGCCAGGACCACACCCTGGGTTGGCTGTTACCTTGGGCTTGTAGGCATTCAGCATGGACATCTCCACATTCTGGCCCCTGACGTGCTTGGGCTGCCTCTGGACGGGTGGGGACGCTGATTTCTGGTTGTTGCGGCAGACACAGATGAAGAAGAAAAGCAAAGCAATGGCCAGGGGGATGGCCACGCTGGGTACCAGGATGTACAGGATCTCCATCTTATTCTTCTCCTTGGAGTCCTTTGAATCTGAGTGTGGAATGGGAAAAGGCCAACGTGAGACCAGTGCCACTGGTGTGCATCACCTGTCACTGCAGAGGGGCAAGAGGACAACATTTCCTTGTTGGATTTCCCTTTTGTTTTGCCAGCAGTGCTCAGAGGGGAATTCCTTACCCTGGGCTAAGAGGACCATATGTGGCGCTGGGGATCAAACTGGAATCACCATGGACCACCTTACCCTTGGCCTTTCTGGCTTCCGAAATGTCCTTCTTTGAAATGGTAAAGGCGGGTCATTTGCTTTACCATTTGGACAGATTTGACAAGCCCATCTGCACATCTTCTGAACACCCAACCCCACTTGGAAAGAGACAAAGGAATGTTTACTTATTACCATCTGTTTTTATCACACCTTCACCAGAATGTTTGGAAGGTGATGTTTGGAAGGTTCAGTGTGGAAGGATTGCAAAGGTACCCCAGAAAGCCTGTTGGTTTTGGTTTGGGTTGGTCCCCGAAGAAGGTTGGCCTCTTCTGGAGCAGACCTGTAGCTGTTCAACACCCTCGAAGTCAAACACCATTGTCAGTGGGCTATGTACCAGCATTCTTCAACATTTTATATCTGCAGCTCAGCACCTGCCCTGCATACAAGCAGTGATAAGGCAGGGTAGTAGACATGTGAATTTTGACCTTTTTATGTCTACAGACCAGTGCTGGTCCAGAGATCTGTGTTTGAAGACCACAGCTGTCTACACCGGATGTGAAGGGAAAGCAAATGGATATGAAGGGGAGGGTTCTTCTTCCCCTGGCAGCTGGTCCAGGTCCACCCACATATGGTGCTTCACAGTTCATGTTGGGACTGTGGCTGCTTCGAACCTTGGGAGTCGGGACTGCAATGCCCAGAATCCACCTCCACAGGGGCTGGGGGAATAGCACAGAGGGCTGGGCATTTGCCTGGCATAGAGCTGACCTGGGTTCAATCCCCAACACCCTGTGTGATCCTGAGATCCCTGGCAGGAGTGAGGTCCGAGCACAAAGCCAGTAACAATTCTCTAGTACCTCTGGGTGTGGCCCCCAAACAAAAATATATCGATGCGTAATCCACCACTGTAAAGAATGCTGGTGTCAGGGGTCTTAAAGTCACTGAGAATGCAGGGGCCCACAATCAAGGCTACTCAGCCCTGGCTAGCTGTGTGACCTTGAATGAGCTGCTCATTTCTGCTGCTTCTCCAAACCAAAGTGAAGTCTCTATTTTGGATGACATCTGTGACTCCCACGAGCACGGAATCACCGCCTAACAACACTGTGTGAAAACCTAAGAATGCCTCTTAAATGGCTTCATATGAGTGCCATATCTCAGGAATTACTGAGTGCTGATGCTTTGACGTGTATTTTGAAATCTTATACATTTGCTGGACCATTACTTGGGGAAAAATAAAAATACACACAGAACTATGATGCATACTTTTCTTTTAATCAGGTTTCGTGTGTCCACTAAAATGAAGTACTTCAGGCATACGTTATCAAGAATGAATTATTTGACTGGGGACACAAGAATTATGGGAGGGGGCTCACTACAGGGGTGACAGAATAAAATGCCCCCGATCACTGAAATCCAGGCAAGTTTGCTTTACAAAAACCCAGAGAGAGTGTAGGTTGCTGCAAAGCTCAAAGATTATTTACTCAAAAACATCGGCAGTGCATCCTTCACTCCTCCTCCCATTCACTCCTCCTCCCACTCAACTCGGGAGTCAATAAACTAAAGCTACTGTTGCCAAACACTTTCTGTGTGCTGGAAAGACCAAATTAAATGCAGCATAGCCTTTGCTAACTGGGAACTCATGCGTCATGAGGAAGACATAGGAAAGAGAAATCTGTGTTGCTGCAGATTCTACAGTGGCTGCTTGAAGAGGTGAGGAGACCCTGAGAATTCCTGGGACGCAGACTATCACATCACTTTTCTTCGCATTTGGCTTCACTGGAAAGTGATGAGTCGGTAATGAATCCCATCTCCTTCTAGCCACACAAACAGGCACAATGCAAGAAGCCAGAGAGGGTCATCCATGCCTGGGGAGGAGGAATGTGCTCCCTAGACTCCCCCCCAGGAAGGATTAGGTTATTGATCAAATAGTAAACCCAACTTATGATAGGAGTGGTCACATCTGTAATACAAGAATAGCTGGGAAAGAAGGTAGTTGGGACGGAGAAGGGACGACTCTGACAAAGATAGTTGGAAATGATCATTCTGGATAATAACTCCATGCTGAAATAGGTAAAGAAATGAACATAATAAGTTTGCAATACGGCTTTCATTATCTGTATTGTAAACCCCAAAAGGAGGGAGGTGGGAGGGAGGAAGAGAGAGAGAGAAAGAGAGAGACAGAGAGAAGAGAAGTTCTTGTTATAGAGACATAGAGACAGGCTGGGGTGGGGGGAGGGTGCTGGGAAGGAAACTGGGTCACTGGTGTCGGCAATGTACCTGGGGAGGGGGATGGGTGTTGGACCAGCATATGACTGAATCCCGACCATGAACAGCTGTGTAACTCTGTATCTCACAGTGATTCAATAATATTTTGTTTATTTATTTATTTATTTAAAGAATAGCTTTCATTGAAAACCATGCTCTAAACCAACTTCCTAGGGCAGGATGGTTGGGTTTCATGGAGGCAGGAGTGGGGGAGAGTGGGGCAGAGTGATGGTCTGCCTGAGGTGCTACTGTCCCTCATCCCACCTCCAGCCCTGACCCGGACCCTGGACTGTGAGGCTGTGCAGACAGCCTTGGTGCTGCTGGGGCAGCAGGGTCTGAGCGTGCAGCCTTGGGTGTGCTGGGGCACTGAGCCCGGTGAACCAGCATTCAAATGCTGCTCCATGGACGATGATTGACCATAGGTGTGAAAAGGATGGAGAATGAGACTTCACTGAGTCATCTCCCTGCCTACTCCCACACCCTCCAAATATGCTACTTACAAGTCCTCACTCCATTTAACAATTTTAGGCAGACCTACGGCCCAGGCAGCTTTGGAGGCCTCCATATCACTGTTGGGAATAGCGAAGTGTGGGTAACCATGTGGCTACATGGCTGTGGGTGGGTGGAAAGAAACAGGTGCGAAGATGATTCCCACAGGGCCCACCCCAGATCTAGATCCATACACACACACACACACACACACACACACACACACACACACACACACACATGCACTCACGCACGCACTTGCACTCAACCAGACGTATGCAGATATAACAGAATGAGGGAAGGAAGTGGACCTTTTAGAGTCAGAAACCTCTCTAGATTACCTTTTTTTGCTTTTTGGGTCACACCTGGTGATGCACAGGGGTTACTCCTGGCTCTGCACTCAGGAATTACTCCTGGTGGTGCTCAGGGGATCATATGGGATGCTGGGAATCCAACCCAGGTTGACTGTGTGCAAGGCAAATGCCTACCCGCTGTGCTATTGCTCCAGCCCCTCAAGATTACCTTTATCAAGGCCAGAGAGGCTTGTACAGGGTTAAGGTACTTGCCTTGCATGTGGCAAACTATGGTTGGATACCGGCACTGCACAGGCTTCCTTAACAACCACCGGAGTGACCCCTGAGCACAGAACTGAGAGGAGAACCCTGAGCACTGCAGGGTGTATGCCCTAAACCCCAAAATTGAAAAGAAGAAATGACTGCCTTCATGATTTTTCAGCCTTCAGTAGGGAAGTTCTCAGGGGTAAAATGGGAATGTTGAATCTGATTCCTAGATCTGTAAAGGATCAATGCAGCAACATGGGGCAGATCTACTCCCGTAATCGTTTCAATCCAGCACCAATGCTATTCACTTCCCTTTAAAACAGGAGGAACATCAGAGAGAAAAGGATAAAAGCCTGGGGCTGGAAATTCGAATTAGTCCAAACTGAGAAACAACCCCCATCACTATACTCTGTATTCTGGGGACTTGCCAGCCATGTCTTCAGCCATCTCCGGAGGTTCTCATGAGTTCTAGTGTTCATCAAAGAACCCGGCAGATCAACCACTGTCTTGCCATTGTCAGCTGCATGATTAGCATAAAACACATATGGATTCCTCACAGCCCTGGGAACAGGGTGTGTGGAGGATTGTGGGAGAATCTCATTCTTCTCGTCTTTTGAGAGACATCATTGGGAGGAAAATGGTTACAAAAGGAAGGTGGCTACTTTGGTATTTCTTTAACACACATCAGTTTGTGGGGACCCAGAATTTTATTTATTTTAGTTTTTAAAATTTTAGGGGCTAGAGTGATAGCACAGAGGGTCGGGCATTTGCTTTGCATACAGCCGACGCGGGTTCGATTCCCAGCATCCCATATGGTCCCCTGAGCACCGCCAGGAGTAATTCCTGAGTGCATGAGCCAGGAGTAACCCCTGTGCATCGTGGAGTGTGACCCAAAAAGAAAAAAATTAGGAACAAGAAGGGCTCTCACCTGTCTGGGAAACAAAGGACATTCAGTCTCCGTTTCTTCCCATCAGATAATTCACCCGGGAATGCCCCTGACTGTCAGGGGCAGAATGGGGCGAATCGATACTCTGGTGCATAGCAGGAGAACAAACTTCAAGAAGCTAAATCCTTTAAACACAGCCAAACTTGGCTCCTTCTGATTACACTGAGGATATGCAAATGCACACATGTTTCCTTGCCAAGTGAAATAATCAGGCAGAACAATGCATGGTCATGTGGCAGTGACAGAAAACAACCCTGTTCTATTGGAAATCTAGGCTAGCACACACTTATTTCCCCAGACAGCTCACTTGGCCACAAAAGGGGGAAAGGGGGCAGTGTCTGGTTTAAAAAAAAACCCACAAAACTTTAATATTGTAAAAACATTCCACAGAAAAACCCACTTGACTCATGGAAAATTAGGAAGCTGACATCTACCCAATCTTTTCCTAATGGCCTCACATTTTATTTCTTATTATTTTGTTTTTTGAGGGAGGTACACCTAGCAGAGCTTAGGGCTCTGTGCTCAGGGATCATTCCTGGTGGGGGTTGGGGGACCATAGGGGATGCCAGAGATC